TATATATATGTATATATATATATATATATATATATATATATATATATACTGTATGGGATCTTAAGCAAAGGAGAATGTCACTTTGACTTTGGTTTTCCCTAAAGTTTCTTGCAATAAGGAGCTAACCACTGAAACTTTGAAATGAAACTTGAACCACCTTCTACGGAAAATATATAGATATATATCAAGAATATTGCGATATAGTATTTTCACCTACCAATGACAGACATCCTCTTAATTCTGGGTAAGTATCCACTGCTATTACGCTGATCATATTATGGTTATTCGGTACAAGTGACTTTATTATTTTCGATCGATATTCAATCTTCATTAGAATCAGTCAACGTTTCATCGAACTCATACACTCAATTTAATTGATAAATTTAAGCTTTTAGAATAATTAATCAATAGAAAAAAGGAAAAAAATGAAATCCCATTTTTTTATATTTACCTCATCAAATATCCCGTGTCCTAAATCTTATCTTGAACTCTAGTCTAAAGTAATTAAAATTCTCATCATTTTTCCCTCTCCGGTGAATAACAATTACTCTTGCCTTGACTTAGCTGCAATTTTTCCCACACGGAAAAAAGTAAACTGTAATAAATAACAGTCGATTCATAATAAGTAATGATCAACTGCTAAAAATTACCATTTCAAACTGTTAAATCGTGATTTTACTATTCACTTTATAATATTTACCATTTAAACGTTACAATTTACTCTTTACATGGAAGAAAATACTATTTCAAACAGTAATATTCACTATGTAAATGTCTAAAATGTTAAAGTATAATAATTAAGAATTCAGACTTTGATATTTATCATTTCGTACCTAAAAATGATCTTATGATATGTAAAAAGTATAAAATAAAGTTAGTAAATTTCTAATATAAGCAACGTCAGTATTTACAAAGTAAAATGGTAAATTTTAAACGCAACGCTAAAAATCAAACTGTAATTATTGACTTGCTTGGACTGGTAAAATGTATATTTTAAAAGTATAATTTTTACTGTTTCAAATGTTAAATTCTCTCAGAGTAAGACCCCCTTCTCTTTCATCTAAGTTCCCCTTCTCCTCATAATATGGACTATATATTGAAATGGCAATTTTAACTGTTTGAAACTGTAATTTTTTGAGATGAAAGAGTCGTTATTTACTATAGTGACAGCTACTCATCACTTATTTTGGATATTAAATTATAAATTGTGGCTTTTACACTCTCTACATTCTGTAATATTTATATTTTTGCCACCCCGATGTCCGCTTTACTGTTCGAAACTATAACGGAAAGAAAATTATGGGAACTATTCTTATACCATTATGGGAATGGTTCCCATAATGCTATAGGAATAATTCCTATACTATTATAGAAACTATTCCTATATCATTATGGGAACTAATCCCATAATATTATGGGAATGGTTCCAATAATGCTGTAGGAATCATTCCTATACTAATATAGAAATTATTCCCATACTATTTCAGGAATGGTTTCCATAATTTATGGGAACCATTCCCATAATAGTATAGGAATGGTTCCCACGATATATAGGTTTAAATCCTACACGGAAAGAAAAAATTAACTTGACTTGAATTTGTGCCTTTTCAAGGTTTCATATCATTCTCATCGATAGTTAATTTATGATGATAAGTATTTAGGTTGCATTCGAAAATGCTCTATCTCTAGACATATAATTGAGAAATGACCTTGTATCTTGTGAACTATCTAGACACAGAGCATTTTTGAATGCAGCTTAAATTCTCATTATAATAAATTGATTATTGGTGAGAATGATATGAAACTTTGAAAAGGCTCAACTCCAAGCAAAAACCCATTTTATCATATAAATACACCAGCCACAAAATTTTTTTTATTCTCTTAATAATATAGATTATTATTATTTAATTATTATTGTTGTTTTAACAATTATTGCATACTAAATGAAAATTATGTTGCTGTCACATGAAAATCAATTTTTTTTCCGTGTATATATTATAGAAATTATTTCGAACTCACTCCGCACGAAAATTTTATCTTTATTTTATTTTGAGAACGATTCCCATAATGGTATAGGAATGATTTCTATAATATTCTAGGAATCGTTCCTATACCATTATGGGAATAGTTCCCATAATGATATAGGAACCATTACTATATCATTATGGGAACCATTCCCATCGTTATGGGAAATGTTCCCATAATTCTAGGAAATTTTCCTATAATTATGGGAACAGTTCCTATAATTCATGGGAACAGTTCCTATAATTGCCTGGGAACTGTTCCCATAAAATTATGGGAATAGTTCCCATATTTTTCTTTCCGTATATAAAAATTAACCAGAATCCGAGTGAATATTACAGATTACTTTTTTCCGTGCATGCATTTTTTCATTTAACTAGAAGTTTAGCTTGTGATTGAGCCGAGTTTTAATTTAAGTGATAAATAATCGGATATTTAATATAAGAATACTAAAACTTTTAAAAATATTCAAATGATTTTGATGTCAAGTTTAGAGGATCTAAAATTCATACTTGGCGTGTAAAATTTTTTAGCGCTATAAAAGGCACTTTAAACACTAAAATGAGGGTGTCTGGTTTTACCATAAACATAAACCCATGAAAAACGATCTATAAAGCGTGAAGCCTTACCCTTAATCCTAGCGCATTGTTTGAATTTAACTTTTTATCATTCACACATGTGAATAATAATTTTTTTAATTCAAAGTATTATTGTTGAAAAAAGTCCAAATTAATTTAAAAATTCTTCGAAAGTAATTATTCGATTTTTTCTTTAAAAACTGATAATGATGGAAATTGAAAGATGGATTAAGTTACTTAGAACTTTTCAATCCCTACTTAAAAGTCAAGAGATTGTTATAAAGTATAAAGTAGTAGTTAAAAAATGATTTTAATAATTTTTTACTCTCGTAAGTTATTGCTTTTTTATTGAAAGGAAGAAATAGGGGCATTTTTATTACTTGATCTTCAAATTGATATTTTTTATTTTATAGAATTAAATAATTATTATTTAACTAGTGGTAAAATACTGGAATTCAGTAATT